GGAGGAAATGGATTAATAGATCATTAAACAGGGCCTGGCTACTCAGGTCTTCTAAAAGCAGTTTCCAGCAGCAGGCACATTCCCCAACCATCACCCCACACCACAGGGCATTTGCTACAGAGAGAGCTGACGACTAAGGTTAACAGTGATTTCACTTGCCTCTTGCCTTCCAACTGCAGGAAATAGTAAGTATACTGAGTTTCAAAGCTAGAATTATGAACACTCAGCATTGTGGAGCATGCCTGTAATCCCAGCACTCAGGAGGCTGAGACAAGAGGACTGGGGCAAGTTTGAGGCCAGACTGGACTGTAAAGTGAGTTTACGGACAGCCAGAGCTGTACAGTAAAATCCTGTCTCAAAAAGACAAATCAAAACAAAACAACCATGAATTACAGCTAGGCGTGGTGACTTATTCAATCTCAGCTATTAGGAAGCTACACCAGGACAATTCTGTGTTCAAGACCAGCCTGAACAACTTAGAGGGACCCTGTCCCAACATTTAAAAACAAAAAACAAAAAAACTAGAATTATGTATTTTTGGGAAAACATCTAAAGAACCAAACAGCCTAAGTCAAGGTCAATGGTATCTCATTTATTATGAAATCCATTGTTTCATTATTATTCATTAATTCATTATTTCACTATTATGTCCCACCCATTAAAAATAAAACAAAAAGCTGGAGGTGGAATATCATTTGAACGTCTTATGTGTAACACAAAGCAATTTTGTGTCTCAGTGCCCAACTGAGTTACAGCTTCGGCCTTAAAAACCTGCAGGGTAGAGGAAGTCCCTACTTGAAGGTTCCTGCCACGACTTGACTTAGGCCTGGCTCCTCTGGCAGGATTCCATAAGTCAATTGCCCTGAGTTGGAACTGTCACAAGAAAATAAAATGGGAGAAATTTATTATCATCTGTATCCACACACGCGCATACACACAAACTCAGAGGCGCTCTGTTAGCTAAGGCACAAGGCAAGATGTAGCAGCCTGGTTCAACAGACCCCTGGGAAATACCGTTTGGTGCAGGAGGTTGAAGTGAGGGTTTTTTTCTTCTTCTTCTTCTTTTTAACATTAGACAGGAAAACAACACATGCAGGAAACCATAAAACCCTTCAAGTTAACTGTAGCCAACGGTCAATCTCATTAGGATATAATGGGTAGACTGTGGCCTCTCCATAAAGACCCAGCGCACAAGCCTCCCAATAATTTCCAATTTTTACACTTGCTGGCAGCTCTGTCTTTTGGATAACAAAGCAGAAGCTGCACTCCCTACATGTAGACCATTTCTAATCCCCTCCGGGCCTTAATTGCGCCTAAATTCAGTGCCTGTGTTCATCTTGCAGCCACATTTGTTGAACTGAAATATGCATTTATATCTCCAACTAATTATTTAAACTCACACTTTTCCCTGGGAATGGCAGGAAGACATCTTTGGGAAGATGGGCAGGAAGTTGGGGAGTTGAGGGAAGGTGGGGCAGAGTCATCCTCATTAGGGACCCCAGATTTGCGCAAGTTTTATTTCTTACTCAAATGGAGAGATCTATGCTAAGAAATCCACTCAGGAAATAGGACTGATCTCATGGGTGCTGCCCTTGAACAAACCAGGTAAGATCTCTACCCCAGACTCACACCCCATCCCCTTTTTGAATCTTCTGAATCTGCAACCTTGGACCAACCATTCTCAATGCCAGTTCTCCATATAAGATAGCTAACAATCCCTTGCTTTGTATCTACTGAGAAAATATGTTAAAATACCACGAGTTAACTTTCAAACCTTATTGAGCCCTGGAAATACATGGGGAGCTTATTGGGTCCTTGTCCCGCTGCCTGCCTGCCTGCTGGAAATCTTAAAAATCCCAAGCAGGTCTGAGGCTGGAGATTCAGGTACCAGACTGCGAAACAGTTAGTAGCAGTGTTATTTTTTAATAACTTAGTTTCTTCCCCATGCTAGGCCCTTAGGGCATTACCTTTTAATAACAGCCCACAAGGCCAGGGACTAGTTGGTATTTGAGAAGCCCGGGCCAGGCAGCAGATACTGTGACCTGTGCAATTTCACTTGATTCTCACAACAGCCTGGGCCATCAGCTGATCATCCTTCTTCTTAATGTTTTACATCAACAAGATTTGAAGATTCTAAGAAATGTGACCAAGTTCCTCCAGCCAGTGGGTTTTGGAGCCAGCATTTTGCTCAGGTTTTCCCTAAGTCCAGAGCTCCCTACTTAAATCCATCAGCATAAAATGCAAATGAATTTTGGAAGCTCTTCAGGCCCCACAAAAACAATGCAAATGTTAAGTCGACAAATAAGAATTAAATACTTATTATGTACAGTGGACCAAGGAATGCAAATTTGGGTTTGCACGAAGTATTCAAGGCTTAGTTCCTGTCTTCCAAGAATTTCAGGCTACTGGGAATTTCTGGTTTGTTATACAGGGGTTTTAGAGACAAGATGGGTAAGGCTAACATCATTTTGTGCTGGGGACTTGACTGGCTATCTGTGAATTTTGCCCTTTTATTCTGGACGCACAGAATTGTGGTGGATAGTTAATTAGCAGTTTGAAACACCAAACCTCCCTGTCCACTGGAGCCTCCCAATGATACCAAAAGAAAATCCAGAAACATGTATGCAGGTACTTTTCCCAGATGAATTAACAGGGATTGGGTAAATATGAGCTAGAAAGGGCTGTCACAGGCCTCCTGGGGGTACCGAATGGGGGTGGGGGTGAGGTAAATAGCCATCAGCAAGAAAAACAAAGCATAGGAAACTTCCAAAATCCAAATAGGCAAGGTGGATTTCTATTTCCAGAATTCTTAGTTTTCCTGGATATGTGCATCTTTCCAAATACCTCCCTGGGATTCCCAGGTTGTTCAGAATGTCTGATTAAGCATTATAATCCACATCATTCACCAAAGGATGCTTCCTAATTTAGGTGAGCCCCCAGAACACTGGGAACACCTGGTAAAGATTGAGGTGTATACCCTAGGGTCAGGCTTTCTCCTTTTTCTGAGAATTCTTTAGGCTTCTTGGAACCTCCCCCAGCTTTGTCAGCAGAATCCAGTGGGCCCACCCCACTGGTTTGCAAGCTCTATTTTTTCTTGGCACCTTAAAGAGATTCAGCTAGGAACCAATACTTAAGTATCACCAATTCTCATTTCTGATGGAGCACAGGGACAAAGGCAGCGTGTTTTACGAAAAATTGCTTGATATTCTTAAAAGGATATCTGAAACTTAACTCCAGCCTATTGATTCAAATCATTTGAAAGGTAATGTCACACTCAACTGGTTTCTCATGTTTATTAGGCCTTTTAACCACCAAAGCATCATCGCTGAATGGAAATTACTCAAAATAAAAAACAAGTACAAAATGTGTCACATTTTCTCTACCACCTGCTAGGGAGGGCATAACATTGCTTTTAAAATGAAAGCTTAAAGGTGTATCAAAAAATGTTTTCTTTTGTGATGCTCAGTAATCAAATTTAGGGCCTCACACAAGCTAGGCAAGTGCTTCACCACTAGGCTGTACCTGCAACCCTAAAATTCTTAGAAAATACTGAAGCATCTTTTCTTACAATGAAGTTAAAAGTGAAAATACACATAGTTCTAGCAGAAGCCTAAAAATAAGAACAGATTTAAAAAGACATGCATCAATAAAAAAAAAAAAAAGACATGCATCATTTAAAAATGTCTCATAGAGGCTTTGCCTCATTCACACCAAAGTTGTATTTGATGTTCTGGATTTCAAAATAAAACTAAGGCATACCATCACCACTACAATGAACAAACATTAAGCACTTATTCCATAAGAGTCCCTCCTTCAGCAAAGACCTTTAAAGAAATACAAGATGCCACGTTGTTTTAAGATATTACAACCACTAAATATATGCAATTTAAAAATGTATTAGGTGCGCACAAGAAAAATTCAGAAACTAACAGCATTGAGAGGCAATTACACTGAAACACAATAGTTGGATTTTGGACAGAGGAAAGTTACTATTTTTGAGCAAAAATTGTTTCAGATTGGACTGCGAGTCTCCTCTCCTAGCTACACATTCCAGGATGCAGGACACAATTACCTACAAGGGATTCAGATTAGGGCACTAGTTCCAAACAGGAATGCACATTAACCCTTCCTCTCCAGGCTGCAAAACCAGAAGCCATGTGAAAACATTATTTATACTAGGCATTTAGAAGTTAAGGTAGCTTTTGTGAGTAGGAATGGTTAACCCTCAAAATAAACAGGAAGAAGAGCTGCTTCACAAGTCGCATATTCTGAAGCCACGCAGTCCTGGGCCTTAGGAAATTCAGGGTAATTTTTCTCTTTGCAGACAGGTCTCCATGGCCCATGCCTAATGCTTCTGTTCCTCACTAGCTGAAGGCAGTGCGATTCAAGGCTGAGAAACCTACTGTTGTACTTTTGTGACAGGAATGCTATGCTGGGCATGGCACTTGAGATGGAGATCTTAGCATCCTGTGAACCTGTTTTATGAAAACAAAAACAAAAAAACTACACCTTTTGGGATTCCTAACTGGGGAAGGCCTTTGGTTTTACATTCAGAATTTAACAGGCTTTTTGATCTTAGTGTGTAGGGAATAAATCCGAGCTACTACTACATGGTAAGAAGTATTGGCAAGTTAAGGAGAAAGCAGCTTTGGGAGCCTAAGATTTAAAAAAAAAAAAAAAAAACCAGGGTGAGCCAGCCAGTTGGATTTTGGAATTCTGTCTTCTATGCCCCTCCCCCCATAAAAACTGCAAGACAAAGGGAGCCTATTGAAATGCAGCAAGCTTAAAAAATTCCTCGAAAGCGCTTGTAGAGTTGACACATATTCAGCTGATGCCATCATTTTGGGGTGCGAGCTGCCAAATCTGGCCAAGAGGAACTCAGCATTTGTCAACGAGGTGAAGCTAGGCGGGGAGAGCTCCCTGTCCCAAAGCTAAGTCTCCAGAGGCTTCAGGGCCTTGCCAATCTCAAGCATTGGGCACAATGACGACAAAAGTCAAGATTTAGGGTTCAGTTCCAGCTGATTTTATTTCCTTCTCAAAAAAAGTTATTTACAGAAGGTATATATCAACAATCTGACAGGCAGTGAACTTGACATGATTAGCTGGCATGATTTTTTCTTTTTCTCTTTTCCCCCAAACATTGTTTGTGTGGCCTTGAATTTTAAGACAAATATTCTACACGGCATATTGCACAGGATGGATGGCAAAAAAAAAAAAAAAAAAGTTTAAAAACAAAAAACCCTTAACGGAACTGCCTTTAAAAAGGCAGACGTCTAGTGCCTGTCATGTTATATTAAACATACATACACACAATCTTTTTGCTTATTATAATACAGACTTAAATGTACAAAGATGTTTTCCACTTTTTTTCAATCTTTAAACACAACAGCTATAAACCTGAACACATAAGCTATCATCATGCCATAAGACTAAAACAATTATATTTAGCGACAAGTAGAAAGGATTAAATAGTCAAATACAAGAATGAAAAACGCAGTACATAGTGTCGCGAACTCAAATCGGCATTTAGATAGATCCAGTGGTTTAAACGGCACGTTTTTGCTTATAAAAAAAAGTGCAAAAAAGATGTGGTTTACAAGTTAAAGCTACAGGATCCCTTTTTCTGTTTTTGCTGTAAATGCACCAGGTTTAAAGCCTCTAGAACAAAACAGTATTTCTTTTAAAAATGTGTTTTTCTTGAAAACGTACAGTGCTTGGCTGAATCTCCTCCCCATCTTACCAGACTGGGGTTAAAGGTCGACACTGGTGGCAGGTGAAGGGATACTGTCACTTTAAGAAGCCTGCAGATTGAACTGTAAACATGGATAAATTAGGGGCTGATTTTTCCAACTGTGTGAGATATTAACCAGCCACCCTATTATAAAATCAGGAAATCCAAACAGCGATTTACACCGATTAACACCCCCTTTATATATTTTTTACAAAAATACACTGAGAAAATAATCAAACGTTTTCATCTCTCTTGTCTTTTTTTGTTTTTTTAAAAGTGTCAAAAGTCTACATTTAAATATAAAAAATTAAAAGTTAAAACTCTAGCCCTTCAGTGAAGGAGACGTAAAATGGCGTGGGTCAGAACAACTACCAAAAAAATAAAATAAAAATAAAGCAAAAGAAAACAAAAAGGAATAAAGGAAGTCAAAAGAAAGAAAAGAAAGCCAAGGAAAGAAAAGAAAAAAAAAAGGGACAACACAAGAAAACAAATGTTTGGCCAGTATAAATATGTCCACATATAAAATGGCATCTGATTACATTTACAAGAAAAAAAAAATATACGAGGATGAAACATCGGTGGAGGAAAAAAACACGTCTTCTCATTTACACCTAGAAGGAAGAAACACATACACACGGAGGAAAAATTTGGTCCTGAATTGTTTTTTAAAAGTCCAGCACAGATTTGAGTTGCGTTTGAATCCTTTTAAAGAGTTAAGAATGAAAAGAAGCTGGTGATAATTTTGTTGTAGGAATCAAACATAGCGCCATCTATCTGCTTTTTATATTATCCTACACTATTTTCAAAACTGCTCAACAGTCTTATACAGAAATCTTTAAAAGATAGACAGGATAACATGCTATATTAACCCCACCAGTGAAATAATCCAACACCATCACGATTCCAATTAAGAGAAGAAAAAACCTTTTTTCCCCCCCAAACCACTCGCCCTCCACGGCCCCTAGACCACATCAAAAGTCTCCTCTCCTCCGCGCCTCCGGGTCTGGGGAGTCTCACCTCGCTGATTTCACAGCCTGACGGCGGAGGCCAGCGAGCTTGCAAACCCTCTGCAGTTTGATCAGTGCGCCTTCCAGGCGCGCGTCCTCCTCCACCCCCGCCCCTCGCCCGGGCGCCGCGGCTTCCAACGAGGTCCTCAGGTCACTTCCTAGCGCCGGTCACTCTGGCTGGCCTCCTCCCCTCCACATCTCCTCCTATGACTGCAGGGGCAAGGAAACAAGGAGAAAAAGGGGAGGGAAGGGGAACAAAACCAAACCAAACCAAACCCAAAACTGGAATTCGCCAGCATGGAGTTTCTCAGTCCCAGCGCTCCCCCAAAACATCTGCCGTCGTCCACACTCAGCATCCGGAGCCTTGTGTCTTCAGTAGGCATGAGAGGGAGCGGTGCTGCTGGATCGCCCACCCCACAACCAAGAAGCAAAATAAACTAAAAAGCCCAGCAAGGTGGCAGCGCGCGAGGGCGGATTCCATCAGTCTCTGGCACAGACCTGGTTTCTAACTTGCTGGGGGGTGGGGGGGATCGGGGCGCACCCCAGTCCGGAAGCTCGTTGGGAAGGGAGGGGGGCCTCTTCAAGCAAAGGGGAGGAAACTCAAATAGCTTTTTTTGCCATCAACAACAACACCAATCACAACAATAAAAGGTCGCCCCTGTCTATCCTGCGCGTCCCCCGGGCTGGCCGGTGCATCCAGACGCCCCCGCGCTCCTCTGCAACCGGATGCGGCCCAAGCCAGCCCTGTTCACTTTTTTTTTCGAATTTTCTCTTTTTTTTTTTTTTCCCTTTTCTCTTCCAACTCTTCATGTGTTCTTGCTTTTTTTTTTTCTTTTTTCTTTCTTTTCTTTTCTCTTTCTCCGTCTTCTTCTCTTCTCGCCTCCCACGCCCCGCGCGCCCCTCAGTAGGTGAAGACTAAGTTGGAGATACTGGACTCTAGCCAGTCTCCCGAGATCATCTCGCTCACCTCGGGCGTGCAGTAGTCCGGGAACTCGAAGTGCGAGCCGGAACCAGGCTCGAAGTTAAAATCCAGGTCCCGGTCCAGCGCCGACGACGAGCTCAAGCTGCCCAGCGACATGCTCTCAAAGTTTGCGCTGGGGTGCAGGTCGAGCAGGTCGTCGTCGAATTCGTCGTCGGAGGACGCTGAGCCTGAGGACGAGGAGGCGGAGGAGCAGGCGGACGAGGAGTGCAGGGACGAGGCGGACGAGGGCGCGCAGGAGGGCGCGGGCGAGGCGGCGCGCAGGCCGGCGGGGGCGCGGGGGCCGGCGGGCGAGCGCGCGGGCGCTGGCGAGGACGCGGGGCTGCTGCGCGCGCTCAGGCTGGGCGCGGCGGGCGATCGGCCGGCGCCCGCATCCTCGTACAGCCCCAGGGGGTCGCTGGGGTCGGCGGGCGAGGCGGGCGCACCCAGGCCCCCGAACAGGTACACGCGCTTCGCCTTCTTCTCGGCCGGGTGCTTGGCCAGGGCGGCGGCGGCGGCGGGCGCGCCCGGAGTCCGCGCCTTGAACAGCGCGTGGGGGTCCGCGGCGGCGCCCAGAGGCAGCAGCGCGGCCGCTCCTGCCTGCTCGGCCGCGAAGGACGACGAGGCCGCCGCCGCCGCAGCCTTCCCGCCGCCCCCGGCCAGCACGAGCTTGGCGTGGGGCTTGGGGACCCCGGTGCCGCCTGCCACCTTGGAACCGCAGCTCTTCTTGGGCGCGGGCTTGGCGCTGCTGCCGCCGCCGCCCCCGGAGGTCGTACTCCCGCCGCCGCTTCCCCCGCTGCCGCCACCGACTTTGTCGCCCTTGTCCCCGGGCTTGGAGGCGGCGGCGGTGGCGGCAGCCGAGGAGCCCGAGCCGGCGTTGCCCGACTTCACCTTCTTCCTGGGCCGGTACTTGTAGTCGGGGTAGTCAGCCATGTGCTTGAGCCGCAGCCGCTCCGCCTCCCGAATGAAAGGGATCTTGTCGCTGTCCTTGAGCAGCTTCCAGCGTTTGCCCAGCCGCTTGGAGATCTCGGCGTTGTGCATGTCGGGCGACTGCTCCATGATCTTGCGCCGCTCGATCTGCGACCACACCATGAAGGCATTCATGGGCCGCTTGATGTGCCCGCTCGGCGTCTTGCACCAGCTCGGGTCGTCGGCCTTGCCGCCCGTGGACGCGGTGGAGCCGGGCGTAGGCGAGGAGGCGATGCCCAGCTCCAGGCCGGCGCCCGAGTCTGAGCTCTCGCCGGCCAGCAGCGCTTCCGTGTTCTCCGCGTTGTTGGTCTGCTGCACCATGGCCCCGGCACGGCGGGCGCCCACGCGCGCTCACCCCCTCGCTCGCGGCGGCCGCGGCGCGATCGCCGGGCCCTGCCGGCTCCTCGGGCCAAGCACACGCCGGGCGGGCCCCTCCACTGGCGGCCGGGTGGAGGAGGGCGCTGGGGGTGAGGTCCCCGGGAGACGCGGGCGAGGAGTTGTAGTTCCCAGGCTGGAGCGCCTGCCTGCCCCGCGCTCGGCCTCTCACCGCGCTGCAGCCTGCTCTGGCCGTCGGCAGAGTCCAGAGGGGACCGCGCTAAGTGAGGTGGAGAGGAGTTTCTTCAGTGCTGCTGCTGCTGCTGCTCGCCTGTCTTCCAGTGCAAGTTTCTCGCCGTCTCCTGGGCAAGTCTTTTTTGCTTTTTTTTCTTCCCCCCCACCCTGAAGCAGTTGGTTCCAGTTCACGAGCACTCTCCGTAGCTCAGGAAAGCGACATCGTCTCTATCACTTAGTCCCTTTCCTACCATGCAAAGCAAATGCGAGTCTGGCTCCAGGACTCTCTGTGGGCGGAATCGGCACTGAGGAGTTTGTGCAATTTGTTGCAAGGTAGGAAGCCAGAAAGCCTGCATGCAACAGACTGGCATGAATAAATGTATGTTTCTCCCTCCCCTCTGCAAGAAGGGAGCTGGTAATGGCAGAGTTCCTCTAGTGCAGACTCTTAAAGAGCGTGCAAGAACTAGAGACCTGGGAGTGAGATAGGCCTCTTTCCCGCACACACTGTTTCTCTTGCTGCAGCTTAGAGCAGACCCCAATTCCGCCTCGCGCCTCTTTATCCTTTGGCCGCAGCCAATCAGCCGCTGTAACTAACGCTTCCTCGTGCCAAGCCCCGCCCCCGCCCTTCCTATTGGCTTGGAACCCGATGCAATAATAATCTCCGCGTGCAATGAGAAGCTCCAAATCTGACCTCATTCCAATTTACAGAGCAAACTTTTTAAAAGGGCTAGAAGTACAGCTGAGATTTCTGCTGCTTCTTTTTTCCTTTTGCTCAGTGTGTGCGTGTGCGCGCGTGTGTGTATTTGTGTGAAGAGAATGTTAATGCCTGAAATTATGAAGGGGAGAGACGGAAATGTATTCTAACCATTATGTTAGATAACAAGGGGCTTGGAGGGGGAGTAAGGGTGAAACACTGTAAATGGAAGCTTTCTGCTTAAAAGCCAAGTGATTATTTTTATTAGTTCTTTTCAACATTGGAATAAAGAATCAGCCTCTAGTGCAAAATCTGTTCCTCGGCCCCTTCTTAAAGCCAGCGATGTAAAGGGGAGGTAAAGCCACAACAATAAATCAATGGATATTGAAAACCATTAAGAAAGTGGTACCTAGACACCTGTCATCACAATTATTTTAACAACTCTAGGTACAGCGCAGATGTTGGTGTATTGTGTAAATCCCTCAGAATAATTTCTGCGCTGTTTGTGGAAGGCAGAAAAAAGGACTTTTTGCAGTAATCGCTTACTCTCTTAACCAAACAAGTGTTAACTATGGTTATTTAATGATTGAAACTCCTTTATGAATCCGGAACAGCCTAAACAGAGCAGCTTTCCCTTGAAACACCTTAGGAAGCACTCCATAATTACTCAGGTAGGAAAATTCTCCCTAGAGTTTTGTACAGGATGAGGTGGTGGTCACAGGATGGAAACCAACTTTACTTTTTAAACATTTGTTTCCCACATTTTCCAAAGTCCGCCTCCCAAAGTCTTCCTCTTTGCCTTATATTCCTATGTGTGTGTTGCTTGGTTCAAGTGGGACTGAAAGACCAAGGCAAAAGGGAGGCGATTAACTGGGGACCGAAGAGAATGAAGTCTTTGAATTATCTTGAGACCAGCTGCTAGTTCTGCTTAGTGGTTTTGTAACTGTGGGGTGTGACTAAGTCTCCGCTGTCCTCATCTGGGATATGGGATCTCCTTTCCAGAGGATTGTTGTGAGAGTCCCAGGAGTCTGTGACAGACAAGCACTCCAGGAATGCCACTTCCCTTTCCTTGGTAACCCAAATGTCCATTCTAGTACAAGCAGGGGCTTCAAGAGGCTGCTGACACTGAGGATGGCCCATGGTGTGAAAAAGAAATTACAGGTCATAGATGCAACCCATCCAGGGACGCTAGTGGCAACTCTGCTATTCTAATGATTTTAAAAGAAGGAACTTCCTGAAGAATACTGTGAACAGTGTGGCAAAGAATTCAGAATATACGAATGTGGCCACACAGGTCACCTCTTTTTGAAAATTACTTTAGTAAAAGCTGTCCTTTTACACTGTAACAGGAAACTGGTTTTTTACAGGCCAGTGATAGGTAGATAGGACCAGTCCAGCATAAAATCAGCTTTCAGACTAGTACTATAAGTAGTATATTTCTTTTATTCTGTCGAACTGTTATAGTGTGTAGGTTGGAGACAGACCCAAGTTATGGGATGTAGAATTTCACTGCAAAGAACACCCTATGGAGACAGCTGATTGGATCATGCATAAGCCAGAATTTTTTCATAGGTGAAAGCATTTTTTTTACTATTAGCTACTCAAGTTATTTACTTCTTTTTTCCTAGAAGGTACAAACCTAAAGCAAAACCAGAAACCCTATAAAACAAAAACACAAACACATTTTTTTGTTATAATAATAAAGTTAGTGTAAAAAAATAGTCAGTGTGACATCATACATTTCATTTTTTCCAGTATGCATAGAAACTTGCCCTAAATGTAAATTTGTTTTCTTTTTTTTGGGGGGGGGGACTAAGAATTGAACTCAGGACCTTGTGCTTGCCACACAGGCATTGTGCCACTGAGGTATATCCCTGGCCCCACTTGCCCTAAATAGAAACAACCTGATGCAATTTTTTTCCAAGCAGTTATTTATGATATCAGTATTTTCTATAGGATAAAAGAAGAAATATATTCATTTTGGGATTTATACCAATGCTAGTGTCCGGAGGATACTTTGATAATACAAAGTGTGTATAAATATAATTGATTATATCAACATTTATGCTTCTACCACTGAGTATGATGGGGGAAAGTAGAAGTTAATTAAGGTAGTCATAGTAATTATGTTTATGCTTAAAGCATACATTTTTTTAAAAAAGTATACTAATGTGTAATCCCTATGTCCCTGTATTTCAAAAATTTCAACACTTTTTTTTTTTTTTTTTTTTTTTGAGATAGGCTTTCACTGAACTATGCAGTTCAGGCTGGCCTTGAACTCAGTTTGTAGCCCAGGCTGGTCTCGAACTCACAGCAATCCTCCTGCCTTAACCTCCCAAGGGCTGAGATTATAAGCATGCACCTCCACGCCAGGCTAATCCAACACATTTTAAGATACATCATTATATTACACATTGCTAGCTAAGAAAAATGCCAATTAAAAAACCCCTTTCCATCTTTCTTATTGTAAGATCCTTCCTTGTCTCAGAGATGTTGAAAGGAAAATGTTTGCATTAGAATTGATGAAATAAGGTATTAGTAACTTTCAATGACGGTAGTAGAAGATAATAATACATATAGGAGTGGTTTGTCTTCTGAAATAGGTCAGCTCTTAGGAGTTAGATCTTGTAGAAGGGAAGAAAATGTGACAAATGCCCATTTATTAAAGTCATCTTTCAAATGAGTAAACTGTGAGTAAGCATATTGGAACGTATTGTGCTTCAAAATCAAATAATGAGAAAATATTTTTATGTTTTGATTACCTAACTTCATATATTTTGTAATCAGTTCTCCATTACTAACATTTCCCCCAAATACAGCTCTGTGGTGGCCCCTAGTAAAGCAGTACTCAGTGATCCCTCTGCTGGCTCTACAGTACATGAAGTAATTCTTAATGCCACTCTTTTAGCTGTATTAGCAAAAAGCTAAGATAATTTTGCAACAACAACAAAAGAATCTTGTTTCAGAATAATAAATTAGCCTTACCAGCAATGACGTTAGGCATTCCAAATTTTGAATTAAGGTAAATATTTTATCTTACTTGATTTCATTAAATAATGGAAGCCATTTGCACTGCGAGTGTAATCTCTGCTCAGGGATTTCTCCTGCTTCTTACACACCTGCCCAACATAAAACCTCACATGCATGAAATGGTATGGGTAGAGGTGGACTGTAAGATTGCATTCCACTGCTTAATATGTCCTTAAAGCATAGAGGAGAGGAAAGCCTCAATGGAAATTAGTTTAACAAATCGCCTAAATTTGCACTGATTTGCAAGATTTTTGCCTTGCCTTGGTTGTGGAAACTGATTTGTAGGAGCTAGTCTGACCTTACTGGGGACTCAGTTCAAATAAAGACAAGGGGAAACCTTATTGTGGTTACTTTAGTTGACAGGCCCGAAGCCCCCGGGAAATACAGTGTCATTCCTTTATCAGCTGAAAGGCCTCGGGCTTTTGGTTCCACATTTCACGAATAAAGACCCTCTAGCTAAGACTGACAAACGCAGGCTGCTGAGGTATCAGAACTGGACCAGGGGAGGGGAAAAATATGTAATTGTTATCTGCAAAATAGCAAAACAGTCTTCTGGAATAAGTGAAATCTGTGATTCATTTTTACTCTTAGGATAATAAAAACCCTACCTGTCTGGTAATTTGTCCCACTTTTTCTTCCCTTGTTACCACTCACTAGCACATAGTAGGCTCAGGTAAGCTATTCAAACCAAAGGCAATCAATGCCAATTCAGCATTCCTTTCTGCTCGATTGGTTTTCCCGGGAGGACAAGCAAAAGGCCAGTATGTGCACGGGCCCCCTAAGATTGAATCCTAAGTATGGCTCCTGCTGTCTTTTTGCAGGCGGGGCAAGACACACCCACCCAGCGCCTGGATTTGCCCTGCGGCCGGCCCAATGTGGGAAGAAGTGGCCGCCAGGTGGCAGCGCTGAGCCTCCCTTCGCGGGCGAGGAGACGGGACAGCGTGGGGTTGGTCAAACTCCTTTCTCTCCCGCCTCCCTCTCCCGAGCCGCTCCCACCCTCCCCTTCACCTTCTATAGGTAGCGGCTTAAGGGCCGGCGGGTAATCGGCTGTAATTCTGATCGGTTTTTTTTTTTTTTTTTCATGACTAAGTGTAGGGTCACAACCCTCCACCTCCTGGTCTCTGGTCGGAAGCTCTCGGTGTCTGGGAAGCCAGCACTCACGCCCCTTCGCCGGAGGTGACCCATTCCCGTGCGAGTGTCATCCTGCGGAGGCGGGCGTGAGTTAGCATGCAGTTTCTCCACCAGCTTCTCCCGGCTTCCGAGAGCGGTGGCAGAGAAAAGACGCCCCTTACTAAGTTACTACCCAAGGCCGCCCTTATTCAAAATAATAAAAATAAAAACTAAACTCAAAGACAAGTTTTCCCGGACCTGAGCGCGCACCGAACCAAGCGCAGCGCCTCGGGCACTCCGCCTGCCCAGAGTCCAGGGTGCTCAGCCTCGCCTGTGCGTCGAGTTCCCGGGAGGAAATAAACTGCAATCGACTCAGGCTGTGCTATTGGAGGATCGTCTTTCCTGCTGTAAACATGTTTCAGGCGATCCTGTCAGCAGCATTTTAACACTCGTCTTCGGTGTAGGTTTTACGGCCAGGGAAGGAGTTGAGGCCGCGCGCGCACGCGCACGCGCCCATGCTGCCTCCGCCGGGTCCCCGACCGCTTTTGGAGTCGCCACCCTCCGCGGCCAGCCAGGGGTCGCTTCGCGAGCGATCGGCTCCTCCTTTCCCACCCCCATTCCGAGCCAACTCGGCCCTTGGCGCTGGTGCCCAGTTCCGCCACTGACCGGAACTGACGGCCACTTGGCCGCCGCCTCCGTGGTGCCCAGCACCCCTGGCCGCAGACACCCACGCGCCCTGTGTGCCGCACTGGGACCACTCGATGCTCGCCTTGCGTGCCGGGGGGCACGAGTCGGCCTGCACTTGACCTCCGTGCCTGGTCCGACGCCCCCCCCCCCGGCCTGCAGGCTGAGCCCCCCGTGGCACGCGGCTGTGGGGTCTCCATCAGGAGGCACCGCGGGGGGTGGGGTGTGCGCAGCGGGAGGAAAAAGGCTTAGAGCCGCGGGGAGGCTGACAGTTTGCACCCGAATTCTCAAGCGTCCCTTCCTCGGGCACCTGAGAGCCTGCCTAGGCGCCCGCTCTCATTCAGTGCTCGCTTGGGAAAGCTGCCCCCGCGGGCTGGGAGCCCTTGCCAAAGTCGCGCCCCCTTCCCGGGGCACCCGGCCCCTGCACCTGGAGGAGGCGGAGGCGGGTCTGGGCTAGCAAGCACGTGGCTTGGAGACCCTGAGCTCGGAGGCCAGG